TTCAATTGCCAGGCTCATGGGACTGATGCCTTCAGCATCTACACTGCACACAAGCTCCCAAAGGTCCCCAGGTTTCTGCCGTTTCCCTTCCACAAGTTCCTGCAACTCCTCCTCGAGTGGGAGCATTGGGACGTTCCAGCCTTTGAGGCGGAAGAACCGACAATAGCAAAGGACTCCGAACAGAGTCACATTCAGCCTGCCTTTAAACAAGATTCTATCGAGGATTTCATCGCGAACACCAATGGACTGCCAATCAAAAGACCTCCAAAAGATAGATGTGTAAGACAGCGGCTGTTGCCAGGAGGACCAGATGCGGGTTTTGTCCCTGGAGGCCGTGGCCACCTTTTTCCCATCTGGGCTCCAAGCCACTGAGTAGACCCACTCACCATGCTCAAACTTTGCATCCTCTCTCTGGGACTCCACATCAAAGATGCGACAGGTTTTGTCGTGAGAGGCCGTGGCCACCTTTTTCCCATCTGGGCTCCAAGCCACTGAGATGACCGAATTGCCATGCTCAAACTTTACATCCTCTCTCTGGGACTCCACATCAAAAATGCGACAGGTTTTGTCGAATGAGGCCGTGATCACCTTTTTCCCATCTGGGCTCCAAGCCACTGAGATGACCGAATTGCCATGCTCAAACTTTACATCCTCTCTCTGGGACTCCACATCAACGATTCGACAGGTGTTGTCGTCAGAGGCCGTGGCCACCCTTTTCCCATCTGGGCTCCAAGCCACTGAGATGACCGAATTGCCATGCTCAAACTTTACATCCTCTCTCTGGGACTCCACATCAACGATGCGACAGGTGTTGTCGTGAGAGGCCGTGGCCACCTTTTTCCCATCTGGGCTCCAAGCCACTGAGTTGACCAGACCGCCATGCTCAAACTTTGTATCCTCTGTGTAGGACTCCACATCAAAGATGCGACAGGTTTTGTCGCATAAGGCCGTGGCCACCTTTTTCCCATCTGGGCTCCAAGCCACTGAGTAGACCGCATCCCCATGCTCAAACTTTGCATCCTCTCTCTTGGACTCCACATCAAAGATGCGACAGGTTTTGTCCCTGGAGGCCGTGGCCACCTTTTTCCCATCTGGGCTCCAAGCCACTGATTGGACCTCATCACCATGCTCAAACTTTGCATCCTCTCTCTTGGACTCCACATCAAAGATGCGACAGGTTTTGTCGCATAAAGCCGTGGCCACCTTTTTCCCATCTGGGCTCCAAGCCACTGAGTAGACCCACTCACCATGCTCAAACTTTGCATCCTCTCTCTGGGACTCCACATCAACGATTCGACAGGTTTTGTCGTGAGAGGCCGTGGCCACCTTTTTCCCATCTGGGCTCCAAGCCACTAAGATGACCGAATTGCCATGCTCAAACTTTACATCCTCTCTCTGGGACTCCACATCAAAGATGCGACAGGTTTTGTCGAATGAGGCCGTGGCCACCTTTTTCCCATCTGGGCTCCAAGCCACTGAGAAGACCACATTGCCATGCTCAAACTTTGCATCCTCTGTATAGGACTCCACATCAAAGATGCGACAGGTTTTGTCGTGAGAGGCCGTGGCCACCTTTTTCCCATCTGGGCTCCAAGCCACTGAGTTGACCAGACCGCCATGCTCAAACTTTGCATCCTCTCTCTGGGACTCCACATCAAAGATGCGACAGGTTTTGTCCCTGGAGGCCGTGGCCACCTTTTTCCCATCTGCGCTCCAAGCCACTAATTTGACCCAATCGCCATGCTCAAACTTTGCATCCTCTCTCTGGGACTCCACATCAAAGATGCGACAGGTTTTGTCGTGAGAGGCCGTGGCCACCTTTTTCCCATCTGGGCTCCAAGCCACTGACCTGACCCAATCGCCATGCTCAAACTTTGCATCCTCTCTCTGGGACTCCACATCAAAGATGCGACAGGTGTTGTCGTGAGAGGCCGTGGCCACCTTTTTCCCATCTGGGCTCCAAGCCACTGAGTAGACCAAATTGCCATGCTCAAACTTTACATCCTCTCTCTGGGACTCCACATCAAAGATGCGACAGGTTTTGTCGTGAGAGGCCGTGGCCACCTTTTTCCCATCTGGGCTCCAAGCCACTGACCTGACCCAATCGCCATGCTCAAACTTTGCATCCTCTCTCTGGGACTCCACATCAAAGATGCGACAGGTGTTGTCGTGAGAGGCCGTGGCCACCTTTTTCCCATCTGGGCTCCAAGCCACTGAGTAGACCAAATTGCCATGCTCAAACTTTACATCCTCTCTCTGGGACTCCACATCAAAGATGCGACAGGTTTTGTCGTGAGAGGCCGTGGCCACCTTTTTCCCATCTGGGCTCCAAGCCACTGACCTGACCTCATCACCATGCTCAAACTTTGCATCCTCTCTCTGGGACTCCACATCAAAGATGCGACAGGTTTTGTCCCATGAGGCCGTGGCCACCTTTTTCTCATCTGGGCTCCAAGCCACTGAGCTGACCCCTTTGCCATGCTCAAACTTTACATCCTACTGCAGCGACTGCAAAAGAAGTTGGATCCGTTCAAACTTCGCCGCTGGATCTTCGCCCGGCGGCGGCGGGTGATCTTCGCCCGGCGGCGGCTCATGGCCTTCAGGTGCTGGGACGATCTTGGAGAACGAGGGGTTCCTCCGCATCTTTTTCACAGGGTGAAACCGTGTTGTTTTGGCCAGAAATCTGCAAGGCAAGAACTTTAATCGAAAAACACCAAGTGCAAGTCTTCACTGCAAATGAATGTGGTCTGGTCCGTTGATCAAATTTCTGTTGTCAACTTGTCGAAAGGGTGGAAAGAAACTGAGAAATCTATAGAAATCAGATGGATCTCAGAGGGTCAAATGAGTTGGATGAATCCACACTGAATCTCTTCTGCATTATGAAGACTGCGTCCATACTCTACGTATCTCTACATGGTGATTCCCAAACATTGGCCACACAGATCACACAGTGGATTTTTGCAAAGGCAACTATGATAACTATGTCAATTCCTCTTCTCCAGCTGCGAAATGTGGGACATGCTGAAGTTCTGCGGATTGAATTGCATCACCTGTGTACTATGCAGCATCTTTCAACAGACGTCGTTCATGGTAATTCGAATGCAAAGTGGGTCACACTGTCACACTGTGGCAGCCTTCTAAGTTCGACACTTTTCTGCTTTGCCATGTCCGCTGGCGCATGTGAAGTTCAAACTTCCGTTGGGTTTTTGTTTCAAATTGCATCTCTTAAGATCTCCAACGACATTCGCCCACCACAAAACTCTTCAGGGATCACACACCCGTCGCTACAATATATTTTGAAGCGGATATTAGTTTCAACTTGTCAGAAATAAGGGATCAATTCCACCAACACGTCTGAAAAATATATTGAATGGAGACAATGGAGATAATATGAAAATACACAACCCTTCCACAACTTTAGGGCGGGCAAAGGCAGGGCTGCAGCGGACATCTTATGTTCAGTCTACTGCCAACCTGAACAGAATCAAAACTGTTTGTGCTAAGAAGTTCCATGCGTTGCCATGATTCTCCTTCACCTTGCAACGTCTGTATGAGTACAACTGCAAACTCGCAAACTAGGGGCCAGTCGGTCAGGTGCAAAAGATTGGAAGTTTGCACATGAGTTTCTGCCACTGTGATAATATCAGTCCAATCTCAAGGTCAAAGTGACTCAGAAAACAGCTCTGCAACACCTCTGCAAATCTCCACATGTTCTGCTTTTTTGTCAGGGGAAGATTTGCATCATCAGCTCACGCGGCAGGCCCCGTGTATAGAGACCTGGCGATCACAAGCTGAATTTCCATCGGTGATTGAACATCTTCATTCGAAAACAAAACGACACACACTCAAGCCCAACCCTCTCCTAGTTGCCACTCGATATTTGGCCATTTCATTGACCATCTATAGAGAAGAACTATGAACGACCCTCATTTTCCATCAGTTTGTGGAATAAAGAAGGATACGACAAAACTCCAACAGAGTTCATTACACAAAAATGATCAGCAAGATTGGTTGTTTCATGATGTTTCATGGTTTTTCCCCACATGTTTTCCATGATTTGGGGCTTTTCCCCACATTTTCCCATGGTTTTCCCATGGTTTTCCCAACCTTTCCCCCCAGGCCTGGTGGTCATCACCTGCACCGCTGAGTCCCCCGCCAGGCCGTAGCGCTGCAGCGGCAGCGGATCGCGGAGTTCCACGGGGCCCGCGAAGAGCTTCATGCAGAGGTAAGGGATGCCCACCTGGAACAAATGGATGGGAAAAATTGATGGGAAAAGGCATCGGAAATGTCCTAATGGATATCCCAACTATAGTGGATATATATATATATATAACCTCAACATGGGAGATGAAGGGAGATGAAGGGAGATGAAGGGAGATGAAGGGAGATGAAGGGAGATGAAGGGAGATGAAGGGAGATGAAGGGAGATGAAGGGAGATGAAGGGAGATGAAGGGAGATGAAGGGAGATGAAGGGAGATGAAGGGAGATGAAATATGGCAAATTTTGGATGGAAAAATCGGATGGAATTGGCAAGTTCTTCTGGGATCCTTTGGGGCTCTGTCTCCAGTGTTTCTTTATGCGGGATGGGGCACGGCATAGGATGATGTCGTCATATGCCTAATCAATTGTGAAGTCCATTGCAAGCTTGTTTATCCAGAGCTTATAATGGTTATCAAGAGTGTTCAGAAGAGTAATCCGCTACTCCAATCATAGTCTGATCATAGACCCATCACTTCAAGTATAATTCAATCATTGTTGTGTCCGCTTATCATAATCCAAATCCATCCAAATCCTAGAGTCCACTTATAATAATTGTATAATCACAGTCTATTTCAAGAAGTTCAACAAATTCTGGACACAATCTGATCACAAGCTGATCACAAGGCACCTCAGAGGTGATTCGTCCTTTCAACTGGGCCACAGTGGTTTCAGCTGTGACGTGCTCCTGGCCACGAGGCATTCGACGCGACATTCGACAGACGATGCGGCTGTGCTCCGGCCTTGATGTGGCCTCCACTTGGAAGTCGGCACCTGGATCCAACATGGGTGTTCAATGGCTTACAACATGGTTGATATGGATATCCATGGATATCCATCAATGAACTATCAATGAATCAAATATCAAATCCTGCACCTTTGATTTATTCATACATCTAAGTGAGTCTAAATGTATACTTTGTATTCCTTAATCATCTCTGTATCATTGACTTATGAATCAAATATCCCTGGCACTGGGCCACTGGGGCACTGGGGCACTGGCTCCAGATCAAACGATTTCCAGGGCGCTCCGCCCAAATGGATCACTGGACCACCAGGACAGTCGTCGGGGACCTCAAGTGAACATCAGCAATCTGCCACTGACAGACGTCAGGTGTTTCGACCCCAAAACCATTGGGGAAACCCATGAAATCACCACTAAAATCACTAAATGTCAGGATTTGGGGTTCCCGATGTTCCCATATTTCAAGAACCCCATGGCAAGCATAATTTGCCGTTGGAAACTCGGGAGCCGGCGATGTTGTACTCCAGCAGGGTGGCATCTTCGTCTGCCAGCTCTACACCGTTGTAAAAGAGGGGCTCGTCAGCCTGTCAGATTCCCTGCTGGGGATGGAATCTGGCTAACTGTTTCACTTCATGCTTCATAGCAAGGATATTTCATTGATATTCAAGGGTATATTGGGTAAGATATAGATATCTCATCCAAAGATATCTTTATAGATATCTACATAGATCCTTGTGCTATATAGATTCTATGAATTATGGGATGGACATAAAAGTCATATTATGACCTTTCGGCATCCCCTTTTTTTCCGACGGAAACGCATCATCAAGGGCACCTCGGCAACTCTTGCCTTAATGTCCTGCTTGACCTCACGAATGGAGTCGGTCTCCTGGTTACTTGACGATTGAGGACCAACAACATAAATAGATACACTACTTGCTGAAAACTAGCATGTGATGATCCCAGAATTGATATAGGTTGACACAGTCCTATAATGTCCTATATACATTCCGCATCATTGTACAGTGATATGTATTTCTCATCTCTGCCCCACTGCCCATCGGTCAGCATCTCCTCAACCGTGATGATCAGGATGTTCTGCTGGCGATTCTTCACACATAAATCGTACGGCATCACCAAGCCCAGTCAGCGCGAGACGCGCCAACACGGTCTGCCCGTTTTAGGCATCTCCACTGAGCCGAGACATCAAAGACGTCATGGAGAATCTCTGACCAAACAACTTTCAGCTGTGGAAGCCACACGTTTCACAAAATCATGTGCAGCTGCCGCATCACGCTATCAATTTGTCATCAATTTGTCATCAATATCATCTGTTCTATGTCACAATGCGGTCCTCTCCCTGCTTTTTTTGAACGGCACAACTCAGTGGGCTACGAGACACAGCTAGCTGGTGCGGATTCCCGGTCCACGCAGCACCTTGGTGTCCATTGTTTCCACATGTTCCACACGGGTTCTCTCTGGATTTTTCATCGATGATCTGCACCTGTTCTGCAGTTCCAAGTGGCTGGAAAACATTTAGCCCAAAAAGCGACAGTCCTGCCAATCCACCAATCCGAACAGAAGAGTTCGGAAGTATAGCTTGACATATATGTTTTTACAACATACTTTCATCATCTTTCATCATCATCCACCCATCTTTCATAATCTTTCATCAGCATCAAAACATGTTTTTGCCCGAACCCAACCGCGTTTCTTGTGTCCTTGAGATGCAGCCTTCGGCAAATTACTGAGATGCTTCCGCCTCCCTGGCTGCCGTTCCAGGTCAAGGATAGCAATGTGGGGAAACTCGCTGATGGCATCAGCATTGCTACAATGAACAATGGATTATTATTGGGCTATTACTGGATTATTGTTGGATCATGACTTTTTGGTTTATCTTTTGATTGGATCATCATTAGATTATATTGGTTTCATGATGATTTTCAAGGTTTTTTTACAAAGACTTGGCCAGGCAGACGCTTCAACAGATCAAGGGACTGTCCAGCGACTTTCATCACAACGTCCTGAGTCTCGGCTCTGGACGAAAAGGTGAAGAAGGAAAGCCATGGCTGATGTTAATATATATATATATAGTTTTATCATCATCATTATTATATCTATAGTTTATAACTATATAGTTATATGATCATCATTAGTGTTATATAGTGTTATACATAGTGTTATCCAAAATTATATAGTGTTGGTAGAGTTGTCAAGCAGATCATTTGTTGATATTTGTTGACTACTTTCCAGGCTGTTCCTTAAGCTCCCACCTTGTCCGGGCGCTTGAGAGAGCTCCAGAAGCAAACACGGAAGAAGTAGGTCTTTCGACTCTGTAGGTGGCGCTTCTCGTCATCACCTCAACATCCCATCCCAGGCTGCCCCAATGACCGAAACATCACCATCTGCAAGTGACCAGATTGCATTTTAAGTGTTCATTCCCTCCATCTTCCAAGCGTCTCCAACTCAATGATTCAACTTTGAAACACCCGATTTTCACGTGCTGAAGCATTGCTGAAGCATTGCTGAGTTGCCGTTGAGAGTGTACATGACCAGGTGCAACGGAGGTTTGCCACAGTAGAGATTCAGATCGATGGGTGTAAAGATGGGAATGCCTGTGGCCTGGCGGTGTTTCCTCTCCAATGGAATGGTGTTCCCAGGGGAAAAAATGTGGGGAATGTCAATGGGATTTAGAAACTGCTAGGCATCTGGTTGTCTTTGCTGGTTTCAATCCTACTTCAGAGAGAGATGGAAACAATTGGAAGCACCATCGACATGTCCGAAGAGTTAGTGAAAACATCTCGCTTTCGAAACAACCAACATCCAAAGGCGAAGGAACAAGTCGTTGGAACCATGAAAAAACACACACATCTGCAACCCCTTGACCGTGCATTCTGATCATTCTGCAACTATGGGAGGGGTCCATAGTTACGGTGGATTCCAAAACCATTGGTTTCCCATCAAAAAATGCCCAATCTGCGGTAATCCAATGCGTCAATGGACAATTCCCCCATTTATAGATGAATGTCCGGACTAAAACAGATTCGATCTTTCCATTGATATCCATTTGCCCTCTGGTAATTTAACATAGCTATGGAAAATCACCATGTTTAATGGGTAAATCAATCCACTATTTCTATGGCCATAATTCTCCATTGATCTCCATTTTTCATATCCATATAAAACCATATAAAACCCATTAAATCACCATAAATCCCTTTTTGGTCACCATAACAGTTGCACTTCCAGACCCAGGACCCAGAGCCTGCCAGGTCATTACGTCGCAGAAGCGAGACACTCCCCAGAAACAAAAGGTGAAGGTGGGCCCGGGCCTTGCGGCACTTTGAAGACAAGATCCATTGGACGTCTCCAGCTTGTGTGATATATATATCTCTTTTCTGCCTGCCTTGCTCAAAGGATCCCTGGAGTGTACTTTGACTGACTGTCGCTGGAAAAAGTGCAGTCAGCACAACTCAAAACTGCAAATACCAAACTTCAAAGGAAAAATCTTTCATCCTCCAAGCTTGGATCTTCGAAACTTCTTCTCCCAACAAAATGGGCGTGGAGCGGTGGGCCCCAAAAGGCTTGACCAGCAAGTACGACATGCAAGAGATAGTGGAACCATCTCTTTTCTGCCTGCCTTGCTCAAAGGATCCCTGGAGTGTGCTTTGACTGACTGTCGCTGGAAAAAGTGCAGTCAGCACAACTCAAAACTGCAAATACCAAACTTCAAAGGGAAAATCTTTCATCCTCCAAGCTTGGATCTTCGAAACTTCTTCTCCACTTCTGCTTTACTTTCCGCAAGGAGCAACTCCTCCCAAAGCACGCTCCAGGAGAACTTCGAAAGCACTTCGATTCTAGCCTTAGCAATGGCACTCAAATTGTGGACCAAAATGTAGGCTGCCACCTCCTGGAGGTAGTACTCTAACGTCCGCATCTTGGACCATCGGCCACGCCAAGCAACCCAAGCGATGTCTTCAGACGAGGAATACAGGAAGGTCGCTCCTGATCCCCGCAAAACGCCAGGTGTAGCTCCATGATCATTCTGTTTAAAAGGCACTCCCAAACGTGACATGATGGCGTTCCATTGGCGCCTGAAACTGTGCATAGACCCCAAATATAAACGCGAGTCTGCCGACAGCTTGCCAAAAAGGGTCTCAGCCACCAGAATGATTTCAGGATCGTCAATCCTACCATGTTGACGCCGAGCAAACCGTGCAGTCTTCGGATCTCGGATCCTGATGTATAGAGCTGCGGTATCAAAGCAAACATCAGAAGGGAAGACAAGGTCTTTGCGAAGCAAACTCAACATTTCCGATGGATGAAGCATTGCAGCAAATCCAATTAACACAGTTCCTGCCCAGGAGTGCCAGCCCCACAAAACTGCTAAGCATACTGCTGCTCTGACTACTAGAGCAGGAAGTACGGCACGTGAAGTGCCAGGTTCATGGATCTGCCATTTCTTGTCAATCTGCCAGGCCACCGACATGAAAGATCTAGACAAAGGAAAAAGGTCCTGCGTAGCAGTGATGGCATACACAAAAAGATAGCGAGGATGGCCATGCTCAAAACAGTACAACCCATACGCACGCAGAGCTATTGCAAGAGCTTGGGGATCCTCAGTCAAAGGAAGCCAGTCTACCTCTGCTACGTCTCGGACCCAGATCTTAAATCCTTCCAGGCAGCGCGCCATGCGCTGTGAAGTCGCAGCAACGAAGCCAACAGTTAAATCGAGCTGACCCCGGAAAGGCCCTGGGTTCGGCTCGATGTCACCACAAAGCATCAGGAGGAATCGCAGCCACCGTGCTGGGTTCTTGCTGATGGAGCTGGATTGTACTACCATGTCAAAACGTTTGGGGTCACCATGCAACAGATCGGACAACCAGGCCGGAGGTGCAAAACAGGGCGGTCGCACATCCCGGTCTCGGGACGGTTCATCAGCTCGGTTGTCCTTTGAAGCTGTGTGCAAAAGGCCGGGATACAACTCACCGCCTAACACATAGGCTACTGACCCCTGAAGGACCCTGCCAAGTGCAGGAGAACTAGACCTACCTTTTGCTGCGGCCCCAATGGTTACCCTACTATCAAATAACCCCATAAAACGACTGCATGGTTCATGTTTGGCCATGTACTTTAACCAGGATTTATAAGTCCGTGTTTCATTCACGTTTATGTGTCCTGACTTCCGGAATCGGAATTTGAAGAGTTCAGTGAAAGGCAGGCTGTCTGACAACTCGCGCACCCACTCAGGATCTTCAAACCAAGGTCTGGCAGGATATGCTGGATCGGTCGCAGGCAGCCAAGTAGGTTCCAGGTCAGCCAAACCAACTTCACTGAGAGCTTCATACTGTTTGGAAAGTGGGATTCGAGAAAGGGATCCTCGCTTTGCGGCGACATGCCCACTAGCCATCATATGCACAAGTCTAAGGGGGTATGCAGCTGAAAATTCCGAGACAGCTTGACCTACGGTCGGGGTATGCCCGAAGACGGCAGTGCAGGATGGGCGGCATCTCTTACAAAACTCAGCAAGGGATTCTTTGGTAAAGGTGCCTTCAATCTTAAAATGGTTTCCCTTGTAGGGGCAGTCACCGGTGGATTCTCGATCTATGAGCCAAGGTTTATTGTGCAGCCACTTCGATGCCTTTTGGAAGGCGCTTCCATAACTGCAAAAACAAAAATGAGAAATGATGCACCCGAGCTTCACCATGACCTGAAAGCAGTGAAGTCGAAAAAGTCGTGAATTCTTGGGCTGCTCTACACTCACGAAGCAGCCTAGGGTCAGGGCAATGGTCAAAACAAAAGCTGTGCGCCGAGCCAACATGTTATGATAAAATGTGAAGGGGTCACTCGGGTCAAAACCAAATGGAAATTCATTTGATCGCACTTGAGGCCTCCTAAGGGTTCCGTAGCTCAAACAAGGAACACCAGCATGCCAGTCTCTGATCACACGGCGATAAGCCAGGGCCACGAGTTCACGGAAGGTGGCCATGTCAGCCAGGTCAGAAACGCGGAGGCGCTTCCCATCCACATCAAAACCATCATGGCAAGTCAGGCCGCGGGAGCTATGGACATGAGACCAATTACCACTACCTCTGAAAATTTCACAACAATCATACAAAAAACCCTCGGTAAGTGAAGGAGGGATTTGTTGCACCATTTCACAAGTCTGTAGAGAGGCTTCACCTCCAAACTGCAAGCTGCTTTCAGGTTCATACCCTAGTTCGGCTAAAACAGCGGATGCAGGGCTGAGAAGCCGAGTATAGTAACCCTTTTGTTCAGAGTGCCGCCACAGTTCTTGGGTGGCGGCTGAGCTGATGGGGGCGACTACAACTGCACCACCTGTGGGGCTAGCATCACAGCTATATATGTTTGAAGAATGCTGCACCCTCAGGTTTGTCTGAGCCAAAGGGCCTAATGTTGCCAACAGCTGCAATTCACATCGGGACTGCCGTGCCAAACAAAAGGTCTGGTCAGGCGGCAAACCTTGGCCTTCTCTAAATAATGAATTCACCAACGCAAACATCACTCTTCTGAACATCAGCACATGCACCCAACAGCCTAAAACAGTGGACAAAAGCTTGGGGGTGCAAGTCCCTCGAATTGCGAGGTGCAAGGTGATAAGGCAAAGAATCAAAATGCGGGGCCTCGGGGCCATGACTCTGCCCTCAACGCCATTGAAATCTGCTCCCAGGATGATTCCCTCGATCTGGTTCCGTTTTTGCTTTTTCTCCTGCTGGATCAACCCTACATGTCTGTAGGCAAAAGCGGCATCTCGGAAAATCTGAGTGTCCCTGAGCTCAGGGTTTTTTGAGAAATCTTTGATAGCCAACTTCTGAATCCCAACATGATCATCAATAGCAAGAAGTTCTACAAAGTCTGAACGGGGAATGGGGAATCGATACCTAAGGGTTTCATGAGCTAGAAGGGCCCCACAAAATTGCCTAAGGACGTTCTTGTGCGCCTGCTGACCTATTTCAACTGCAAGGCTGTCGCCCATAGCGAGCGTGCTTAAACACACCAACAGATCCTGACCCCTGAACTCAGGTTTGAAACACTTGAACGCTTGGACATCCTCCCAAGAGAAACGCATACGGATGGCATTCCTCCGAGCACGAGCTGCGCTAACACAAAACGTGTAGTAGTAATCAGTGAGATCATCAGCTGAAAACCGGAACATGTCACCAGGTCCAAGATGTAAAAGAGTGAGTAAACAACTAGGGGCTAATTCCTTGGTGGATCTAGTAATGGTATGCATTCTGCTGTTGATGGTCACAGGGTTAATGATGAGCCTATCAAAAGACCTATCTTTTGGAACACAAAACAGACCGACTGCTTCGGAAAAGTCTTTCTCACAGGCTGGCATGAGTGAACATGCTCCCAGCTGGTCCCATCGTCGTGCCAGCTCCAGCAATTCGCTCTTGGAACAATGGACTCTAGCCGGGTGAGCAGGCGGCCACGTCTCAATATCCTTCCGGAGCACATCAGGGTCAGCATACGCTGCACGAACAAGCAAATCATCTAAAAAAGGAGTTGCATCAAAAGAAGGAGGGCTGTTCCACTTCACCCGTTCTGAGACAACTGGTTTGGCATTAATGCCAGCTGGATGCTTAACTGTACGTGGCGAACATGCATGACATGGGTGCTCTTCTTGGAAAACAGGACTAGGCTTCTGTTTGAAATGACTGCTATAGGAATCCAAATCATGCTTCAGCTGAACAGCTAATTTTTGGAGGTCCTCTAACCCCAGTTTACACCAAGGAAGTTCCTTCACCATCTGAATTACGCCTGAATTTTTTTCTTGAGCACGGCCCAAGTCATCCACTTCAAAGTCTGGCATGCAAAGAAAATGGTCAAGCATCGACTCGAGACGTTCGACAATCTGATGCTGCGCTTCAGATATTGGCGCCCCTAGTTGAGCGCGAGGTGGGGGTTCTTTTGGAAACCCCAGGACCTCCCAGTTCAAACTAGCTATGACTAACTGCAGCCACTCATGCCGAGCTCTTAAAAAGCGCAACGACGTCGACGTCGTGGATTCAGGCGGCTTGCATCGGTCCAACGCCACCTAGGGAGGGGAACCGGCCAAAGGAGATTTGACACTCCATCAACGGTGCAGGCTTTGTCCGGGTTAAGGCTTTTCCTAATGAAATGACCTAAACCAGTAGGTGCAGTTTTTAGCACCTGGCATGCATGCAAAACTGAACTAATTACGGGGAACTTCTCTCCGGGGAAGCGGTCTATATTAGGAATGGCAGCATCATTTACGAGATTAGGGGGCCTAGACTCAGGGGGATCTACGTATGGATTACAACCCTTCTTATCCGAGTCCAGGGCACTCGGCTGCGCATGCTCGGAGGGCTGGCAGGCAATCACGCTTCGGTGCTGTTGCTTGCATCCTCTCCCTGCTGACCCTTTTGCTTCCCTTTTCCCCGGCCTTTCTGGGGCCGCCGTTTGGGCTGAGCTGACGGCTCGTCCTCGAGAGGCTGGCTGGCTTTCGATCCCTTTGCATTTGCGGATAGCCGGCTTTCCATATAGTCCAAATCTTTGACATAGGCTAAATTGGCGGAAATCCAGCTGGGGTTGCAAATCCGGCAGAACTGTTGCAGGCCGCTGCGTCTTTTGTGCGATACTAGGATTTGGTACGGAGGTTCCTGCCATCCGCACAGAAGCCATGCAGTCTGAGTACGGCCCTGCTCTATTGCAGCCTGTTCCACAAAATACATCATCCGACTGAGCACCCCTAGCAGTTCTATGTTCTGGCTTTCGAAACCTATGTTCCAGCTCTCTGCAATCATGAAGGCAACCTGGGAAAGGAGTCGGTGTTCCGCGAGAGGAATTTTCCTCTCTACATACTTCCTCATCAAGTTTCCATCCTCCCGGCTGGCTGGAATCCCTAGCTCTCTCAGCAGATTGGCCCGAGTTGAGTCGGCAACTTTGGTAAGGTCTTGAACTGCCCGTAAAAGCACCTCCCGAGCCAAGCAACCTTTGACGCCTGAGCTGCTTCCTCCTCCGCTGTCCGAGGCGCTGCCGCCGGACAAAGCCCCCAGCACTGGGTCTGAGTGTTTGGTCACCAGCTTCTGGAGCAAAACGGCATTCTGCTGCATCTGGAGAAACATCAACTGCTGGGCCGGATCGGCCGACTGGATCTGAGCAGGAAGCTCCAAACCTGCAACCCCTGGCTCTGCCACTTCGCGCTCTTCCTCTACATAATCGGTCTCGAACTGAGCCACCTGGGTGGTGGCAGGCAGAGACCGGCGAGTCTCGGTTGCCCCTACTCTGGGTGGGGGCGAGCCTGCCAACTGCTTCAGCTTGGTCCAATCGGCTGCCGACACTTTGGGCGTCACTCCTACATTGAAAAGGCTGGGCGTCTTTGGCGGCGGAGGAGGAACTGCTGCAGGTTGAGCTGAGGCAAGCTGGGCTTTCAGCGCTTGGATTTGAGCTTTGAGCTCTGCCACAGAAGCCAACTCCTGTGCGGATGCTGGCGGACTGCGTTCGGGCTCCACCTCGGCTTCTAACTCCTCTCCGGTAAGGTACTCCTGGGCGGTTGTCTCTTCCATGGTCAACAACCATTCGGAGGCCAAACTGTGAGCGGACTGGCGGCGAGGACGTCCAGTTTCGTCTGCAACCTTGCAAGTCAAAATCCGGTCGCGAGGAACAGCTTGCCGTCCGGTTCTTGGATGCTGGAAAAAACCTATGTGCAGCCAAGGCAGATCCACCAGCTCTACGTCGGCTTGGCCAATGCTTCGCCCTCTGACAGTTTCCACCTCGCAAGAACCTACAAAGAACATGGGTGCATCTTCGCCTGAGGCATCGCTCAGGGCGGCTACAGCATTGTGGGCTGCGTCGGCACATGGGATCACGATCATGAAGCCATTCTCCCTCAGGTACACTAAATGGCATGCAACACAAACAAAATTGTCTCCCTCCTCTGGCAGGGGGAGATGGATCTCTGGCAATGCTCTCTGAGCAGAAGGCTGGCTCAACAAGCCTTCTGCGGCCTCTCGGGTGAGAGGCCCACTCATTGGACTTCTTCGGGCCATGGCCGGGCTGCCCCAGCCAAAAAGGCCGTCGCCTCCGCACGAGATGGAAAGGCGTGACTGATGGAACCAGGCTGGAGACCTCGACGATCTCCCACCACCTCAATGTACGTACGATAGCTGGAAGTCCAAAAACCCTGAGGGTAGGAATTGCAGCGAAGGACAATGTAGATGGAGTTCTGGAAAGGAATGGTAGGAGAGGCAATCGCGCACTCCCTACCCAGCAATCGCTCACGAGCTGCTACACCCGCTCGAAAAGCTCTACCCAGTCTCGCTCGTGAAGTCCAAGTGGAGTGGGAACCACGCAACTGGCGTTCCAGGAGATCCACTTGAGGCACTGGCAATGCTGCAAAAGCCAAGGCTGAGGTCGCTTCCAAAGCAAGGGCGTCTACTGCAGCAGATGGGGCCACAGGAGACTGATCAGGTGCACTCGCTTCAGAGGCAGCGGAACTCACAACCTCGTAACCTGAAACTGATCCCTGAGAATCGGCCGCAGCAGGTCTAGCAGAAATAGAGATCCGGACCCCAGCAAGTAGAAAAGTGACAGTTTCAATATCGTTTTCCACAACAGCTTTGGGGGGCATCAACAGTCTCTCCTATATTCAGCTAGCCTGCCTCTAAGGTCCAAAGGGGCAACTGGATACCAAGTGGCAACCAGGATTCGAATGCTCTGGCCCAAACACCTTCTGCACTGCGCAGAGAAAATCAGTGCACCAGCAAAGAGTCCAGCGCACCAGCAGAAGCACCCAATGCAAACACCCAGGGTGACCAGTAAAAACCAGGGGCAATTCGAATCGCTATGGGATGACCACAAACGAACCTCTCTGAGGGTATCAGGGATCCATGCGCTCATGCGACTTGACCCCAAAAGGCTTGACCAGCAAGTACGACATGCAAGAGATAGTGGAACCATATATATATATACACATATTAATTATCCCCATTAAACAAAAAACAACTGTTAACAATTATTATATCATCATTATCTGGTGATCATTGATCACGATCATGCCACATGATGACATCTGATGCCTGTGATCATCATGACCTGATTATCATTCCCGCATCATCCCCATTGAATCACCATGAAATATCATCAGCATTCCCGGTTGAAGTGAAAATGTGCAGAAAAACCCTGAACATGGTGGTTTTAAAAAAACATAAGTTTTCCGATAGAGTTTCCCTTCAAAGCAATCCATTCAAGTAGCCATTTGGGGTAAACGTTTACATAAATCTTAGTTTCCCCATGGTTTTCCCTGAGAAAATCATCGAAAAAAAAACAAATCTTTCCACCCCACCTGAGATCTAAGGCATCCATAAGGCGCTTGTACTCTCGGAGTTGACCCACTCGCTTATGGCCATAGGTCTGCATCCAAAAGTGGGAGGTGATCATCCAAAAGAGAGTGAAAATCTGGGGAAAATGTGAGGAAATATATGACAAAATGGAATTTCTACGGGAAATATATGATCAACAGATTGGAAACTGGAAAACATATATGGAGAAACACTTGAATAAGGAAAAATATGGATGAAAGATATTGGAGAATATGAGACAAATATAGGGAAACTATGGCAAAATTATATAGTTTCATCGGAATGTTTGAATCATGGCGAAAACCAGTGGGAAAAAACTGTTCCAATGGGACAATTTGGATTTCAACAAATACAGTATCAACTTCAATCTCTCTCGAAAAGAGATCAGGAAAGTAATATCTTACAAAAACAACTCAAATACAATGCTCCATTTCACCTTTCCCATCTGCTTTTGAGGGGTTGCTAACCTGCTACATAGCTATGGAAAATGATCATTTTCAAACAAGTAAATCATCGATACATAGGCCATTTTCCATAGTTTCCATACGTTACCCTCTGGTAAACTAACAAATAACTATGGAAAATCACCATTTTTCATGGGTAAATCCACTATTTCTATGGCCATTTTCAATAGCAAACTGTTAGTTTACCATAGGGTAAATACTAAATCCCATTAAAATCACCATTTTTGTTGGTTAAAGCCCATTAAACCACCATTAAACCGCCATTAAACCACCATTAAACCACCATTAAACCACCATTAAACCACCATTAAACCACCATTAAGCCACCATTAAACCACCATTAAGCCACCATTAAATCACCATTAAATCACCATAGTTTCCATAGGAGTTGTGGGATCTAATCAACCCAGCGACCGCTACCAAGGATACCAAAGCACCGGGAGATTGGGATCCGTCAACTCAGGCGGTGTCTCTCCCTCCGGAGTCTCTAAGAACTGGTCAAAGGCCTTGGGTCATGGGGGATTCCCCCAATAGATGAATGGTTTATCATGGTTTATGGTGGAAAATCCTATGAAAATAGATGGTTTATGCTGGAAAATCCTATTCAAATATGATTGAAAATGGATGTTAAATGGACGATTTATAGGGGTACCATTTTAGGAAACCACCTAATATGTTCACATGGTCAATGGATTAAGAGAAAAAAACTGAAACATCCATGAGCCTTTTTTGTTTCATCCTGGTAGATTTCCCTTACTGCTGGAGAGAACCTGAGCTTCCAACCCAAAGCGGCAGCAGGATGGCTGGCTGTTCCCTCTCTCCATCCTTGGCGCCACAACTTGGCCAGAAAATGAGCACCAACCAACAAGTGACTTTCAGCCATCCAACTAACATCCCGAACCATCCCAACCCCCAAAAATGTAGCAACAGAAGCAACCCAAAAATTCCTGGATTCAGGGATTGATGAATTTCAGCTCAGGCACCCCAGTGGCTTCGCCCAAAGTATGGTAGAGCCGGTCGCCAACCACTTGTCTCATGCCGGAAACCTCAGCAGCGGAATTTGGAGAGGTGGGGCAATCCGGGCTGTTATTTTGAAATCCGCCAGCCAGCCAGACAGTACTGGAACGACTTTGTGCAAGCTTTGTAGTATACGGTAGTACTGGAACGTGTTTGTGCAAGCTTTGTAGTATATGGTAGTACTGGAACGTTTTTGTGCAAGCTTTGCAGTATACGGTAGTACTGGAACGTTTTTGTGCAAGCTTTGTAGTATACGGTAGTACTGGAACGACTTTGTGCAAGCTTTGTAGTATACGGTAGTACTGGAATGTCTTTGTGCAAGCTTTGTAGTATACGGTAGTACTGGAACGACTTTGTGCAAGCTCTGTAGTATATGGTCGCACTGGAACGTGTTTGTGCAAGCTTTGTAGTATACGGTAGTACTGGAACGTGTTTCTGCAAGCTAACCACTTTGCTAACCAGTTTGCTAGCCACTTCGCTAACCCCTTTGCTAACCACTTAGCTAGCCACTTAGCTAACCACATAGCTAAGATAACACAGTTTATCATGAAGAGCCCTTAACCACTTAGCCAGCATAGGCTAACCACTTGGCAAAATGCTAACCAGTCTTCATTTTGCCACCAGCACTTATCGCTGTAGTTCCAAATTCAGCGGCGTCAGCGCTGAGGTTTCTGAATTTTAATCCTTGAGTCCTTGAATCCCTTAGAACACTCGGCTGAACATTGAGTTTATAGTTGAACTGTTTGAACATATTTGAACCCATAAATCCCTTGACCTCGTTTGTCAAGCTCGCTTTGAATCACTAACCCAAGGACGCACAAGGGCCAACAGCAAGGCACACAGTCTTGTCATGTGTTGCCTGCATCGAATGAGTCAAAGTTACTTCATTAGCAGCGAAAATCATTGCCTGATCACATCCTTAACTCTGCTTCATGTAGTTCAAACCGTTAAAGTATATCTCATTGATTTTCATTACAACTGCCCTTTTCGTTACAACTCGTCCATTTCACTACAACACTCTCGTCGCGCGACAAAGCTGCTTTTTTCGTTACAACTCGCCCTCTTCAGCGCAAACCGTGCTTCCCCATGTAACGCTTCCTTGCGTTAAGTACAACACTCCCTGCGCGTGACACCTTGTCCTTTGCATTGCAGCTCTTCCTTTTCGTTACAATCTTCTCTGTCGTTCTCGCTCGTCCCTCTCGCTATACTAGTAACGCTCCCTTCACGTGACAACTTGTCGTTTGCGTTGCAGCTCTTCTCTGTCGTTACAACCTTTCCTCTCGTTACAACTCTGCTTGTGTTACAACACTCCCTGCGCGTGACACCTTGTCCTTCGCATTGCAACTCTTCCTTTTCGTTACAATCTTCCCTGTCGTTCTCGCTCGTCCCTCTCGCTATACTAGCAATGCTCCCTTCACGTGACAACTTGTCGTTTGCGTTGCAGCTCTTCTCTGTCGTTACAACCTTTCCTCTCGTTACAACTCTGCTTGTGTTACAACACTCCCTGCGCGTGACACCTTGTCCTTTGCATTGCAGCTCTTCCTTTTCGTTACAATCTTCTCTGTCGTTCTCGCTCGTCCCTCTCGCTATACTAGTAACGCTCCCTTCACGTGACAACTTGTCGTTTGCGTTGCAGCTCTTCTCTGTCGTTACAACCTTTCCTCTCGTTACAACTCTGCTTGCGTTACAACACTCCCTGCGCGTGACACCTTGTCCTTTGCATTGCATCTCTTCCTTTTCGTTACAATCTTCTCTGTCGTTCTCGCTCGTCCCTCTCGCTATACTAGCAACGCTCCCTTCACGTGACAACTTGTCGTTTGCGTTGCAGCTCTTCTCTGTCGTTACAACCTTTCCTCTCGTTACAACTCTGCTTGTGTTACAACACTCCCTGCGCGTGACACCTTGTCCTTTGCATTGCAGCTCTTCCTTTTCGTTACAATCTTCTGTCGTTCTCGCTCGTCCCTCTCGCTATACTAGCAACGCTCCCTTCAAGTGACAACTTGTCGTTTGCGTTGCGGCTCTTCTCTGTCGTTACAACCTGTCCTCTCGTTACAACTCTGCTTGCGTTACAACACTCCCTGCGCGTGACACCTTGTCCTTTGCATTGCATCTCTTCCTTTTCGTTACAATCTTCTCTGTCGTTCTCGCTCGTCCCTCTCGCTATACTAGCAACGCTCCCTTCACGTGACAACTTGTCGTTTGCGTTGCAGCTCTTCTCTGTCGTTACAACCTTTCCTCTCGTTACAACTCTGCTTGTGTTACAACACTCCCTGCGCGTGACACCTTGTCCTTTGCATTGCAGCTCTTCCTTTTCATTACAATCTTCTCTGTCGTTCTCGCTCGTCCCTCTCGCTATACTAGTAACGCTCCCTTCACGTGACAACTTGTCGTTTGCGTTGCAGCTCTTCTCTGTCGCTACAACCTTTCCTCTCGTTACAACTCTGCTTGTGTTACAACACTCGTCTACGTTGCAACTCGTCTACGTTACGACTTCTCGTCTACGTTGCAACTTGTCTTTTACGTTCCAGCGTTCCTTTTTCGTTACAGCTGCTAATTTTTGTTACAAGGCTTTGCTGGTTGCTAAACCGTCTTTGTCTTCGTCAATGGGTTCGTGTCAACTCGTAGACTTCCTTTTCTGTTGCAACATGTTCCGACCTTGCTTTGTTGTAAGAAACGCTTTCTGTGACTGGCTGGCTGAATCCGCCGCTATGGCTGGCTGGCTGGCTGGCTGAATCCGCCGCTATGGCTGGCTGGCTGGCTGGCTGGCTGAATCCGCCGCCGCCGTGGCTGGCTGGCTGGCTGAATCCGCCGCTATGGCTGGCTGGCTGGCTGATTCAGCCGTGATGGCTGGTGGCTGGCTGAAGGCTGGCTGGCTGATTCCGCCGCTGTGACTGGCTGACTGGCTCATTCCGCCGCTATGGCTGCCTGGCTGACTGGCTGAATCCGCCGCTGTGGCTGGCTGGCTGGCTGGCGGGGTAAATCCGCCGCTGCGGCTGGCTGGCTGGCTGGCTGGCTGAAATCAAAATACCGGACCGTGATGCTCCACCAATGATACTTTGGCCTCCAACAACGCTCGGCCTTTTGTGACAAAGGCGCGCCAGTCATGAAAAGCTAACGACCTTTATTCAATTTGTCATGAAAGGATTGCCCGATGGGGCTGCTTACTAATAGGGCAGCCCCATGTCAGTCACGGGTCTTTTGAAATGGGCGTTCAGTCCCGGCTGACTCAATCCCACAGCTGGTCGTACTGCACAATAGAAAGACAAATCCAGCGGTCGACCCTGCGTGGTGAATTTTGAATAGGAACCATATGTGATACATGTTTGTTCCTCAACCTGACTTGGGATGTTGATGGAGGGGGCTGGCTCAAACCACACATCGTCAATGGCAACCAACCCGCAAAAGTGACGACCTGTGGGTTGATGAGACGGCATTGCGCTGCCGAGCGTTCGGCGCAGCGTCACGGGCATAAGGCGGCATCAATCGGCTGGGTGTGGGTCAGGTATCAGGAAAACTGGCAAGCTAGTGGCAAATCCACAGTCATGACGCCAAAATTGATAGTGCGAGGCTTATGACTAATGCGCATGGCGTAGCACAACAGTAAAGAAGTGGCGCCTGCACCGTCTTAAAATCAATGATTCATGATCTTGCCGTACCTGTATCATTTAAAATTTCTTCGCGGTAGATCCCATTGTTATCCAATGATCTGATTCTGGGGCATCGCTCTTCTGCCAAACCATGCTTCGCCGCATCCAGTGTTGATCCGAATTTAAACATGTTTTGCGCGGCATGGGCGCTAGGTTCGCGATGCTAGCAACCATCTGATTCCAAGATAATTTGATGTGCATGTTCATACTTTTGGAGTTCTGGCACACTGGTCATGCAAGGTGACTTCAGACTGCGCAAGCGCGCATATCGTACGGCGCACACAAACGTAGATGGCCCCAATGCTTTGCGTCAGTCTGCCAGCCTCAGATGTTGACCCTGGGGAAATAAGCCACAAACACAACATGGGATTCCAATATTTCCAATATCACGGCAGGAGACCAACATCATCCGTGGAACCGGGGTGTCTACCTCCAAGATGAACATAGGGGTGATCGATACAAATCAGGAGTGTGAGCTGCCCCCCCTCAAAGCTACTCAAATGGCTAAAGGGTTTGCGCCGGTTATATGCTGATTAAAAAAATGTCGTTCACAAGTGTTGACAGCAGCGGTCCGTCATGTACGGTCAGGGAAATGGGATCAAGCAATGCCATGCCGAAGCGTCCCGCATGTGACCAGGCCGTGTCAGCGGCAGCAGTAGAACTCTTCCAAAGTTGTGAGCCCGCCGATGTCCACGTAGTAAATTCAAAGACGTTATGCGCTCATGAACAATGTGATTCAAGTCATGATGGGTGAAAATTCGAAACAAGTCCCACAAACTCCTGCGCAAGCAGCAAGCAGCACAAAAAACAAACGTACAAATAATTCCCCAAGACAGCCGCCAATCATGGTCTTTGACAGGGTCATCTTGATGATCAAACACGTTGAGCCTGACGTGTGTTCAACAAAAGGGACCCTACATAGCAAAATATGGCAAGCGAAACAAAACAAGTTAGTTGGTCATGGTTAACAAGACATGGAACAATGTTTGTACGCAAGCATGCCTTGCGCCAAACTGAGTATCGCACATAAAGGAGGATGAAGGCCTGCTGCTGAAGCACAGAAGCCTGAGGATCACAGCACATGCGCGCACGAGCCAGTCCAAACAATTATGGCGTTCATGTTCCTGGCCGCCTGCTTCCTGGATTCCCCCATGTCCTGGCCTCATCCAACTGCCAGGGTGATTTGCCATCCAAAAACCACCACGAGCCACGTTCTTGCGCGAATGAATTGTGACCAAAAGCGAGTGCATTGTGCCAACAGGTTCACTTGTGAGGCTCTGCCGGCCGAGGTTCTCTGCAGAATGGTGTAATAGTGGCCCTGCATAAGGCTGCCCTGCAGCGCAGAACTCTAGTAACTAGGGCTAGGGCACGCAAGCAAGCGTGTGCCTGTTGACAATTTCACGTAAACACGCCAGCCTGGTGAACAATGAGTCCGCAAAGCCTAATAGAAAATTCTTCACTGAATCCCGGAGATTTCTGCACGTTTGAAATTGGTTCGGCGCAAATCATCATGTGACCACGCCTGTTTTGGATCCTAGAAAGTTCGGTTGGATGAGATGCGTCTTTTCATAGGGAAAACTGCCGAACTTCATGTAAAGGCTATTCATCTGTGAGCTGGGGGCCTCACGCGTAGGATTTCACATCTGCTCCTAGTGCAGGCGCAAAACACGCAGAAGGGATTTCACACATACTGGCGCCATAGCCCCCACGCTGACCTTCGTTGAAATCCAAGACTTGGGGGTAAGCCACAAAGTCATCAACCTGCCACGTGCATCCGAAGAATGTTGAACCACTAAGAAAGCAACCTGGCCTTCTGGTCTCTTTCAAATCGTTTCCTTGGCGCAAGCGCGATAAGCCCGCTAGTTGCGGGTTGAAAACCGCTCGACCAAACAACCGCTTGGAAAACACCGAGCTGCACATGCACCAGGAGCGCAGGCGGCAGTGATGCACAAGCGATCCTTGGCAAAAGTATGAACTGGCGGCGCAGATCAGTAAACCTATGTGGTTCGCGTAAGCAATGGAGGGCTGAACGCGGCCTTTCTTCAATTTCAGCCGAGACACTTCGTTCGAAGTCCTTCACCGCAAGATGGACACCTGAGAGATTCAACAATTCGACATGCCGGGGGTTGTCCATGCATGTCTGGATTTTCCGATGAACAATGGGACAACCAGGTCAGCAAGACCAAGGATGGTGCAAGTACCCAAGTCAAGTTGTTCGATTCTGCTTCAAAAAACGCGATCCAAGGTCAAACTGCACATTGGAGGAAAAACGGTGGTTTCCAGAGCGTGCTCGTGCGCAAGAACATTACCAATTCTTTCATGACAATGGCTCTCTTAAGAAGTGGGAAACTGAATCCTTTCCCATCCGTGGCATTGAGCTTTGCACGTGGAGCCAGTAACAATTGCTCCGGCCAAGAGCTCACTTAAAGAAGATTGTATGTCCCGATGCACCTGCCAGAACGAGCGTGTCCATGAGAAAAAATAACGTCATAGCCACGACACAATTCACTCCAAAACGCGAGAGCATTCAAATGGTATAATCTATCCACCATTTTGCGCGAATATGACATCACATGTATCAACGTCGCTCGCTTTCTTTCCTCTTGACTCATGTCCAATCCACTTGAGCAGCCTCAACTTCCACCATCAACTCAGGAGTCGTCGAGGCAGATGCGAAAGAACAGGCGCTGGCATTTCAAAAGGAAAGCAGATCTCCCCACCAAACCAACTTGACCCGAAGAATGTCACAGAAAAACTGTCGAAGATATGCCAAAAAGACTGTCAGACGATACTCCATACGCTAGAAAGAGAATCAGAAAGAAAGTCAAAAATAATGCCGAAAAAATGTCAAAACTACGCCGGGAAGACGGTCAAAATATGCCGTCATAAATTATTTGCCATGGTGGGGATCACCCAAAAGAACGTCATTTGACGACGCTGCACAACATCCATGCGCCAAAAGGCACCGGGATGAACATTCCAACTGGTGTTTGAAGAGGCAACCTTGGAACCAAAACAAAAACCAAGCGAGACTTGTGAACACGCAGCACAAAGGTGAATTCAGCGGTGACACAATAATGGCCCCCGCGCCGAACGCGCACCTTAAACTCAAGTCCCCTTCTTGGCGCGACGGGCAGGGGCTACACGCAACAAAATGCTCCATCTTCAGTCCTTGCGGCAGCGCTCTGCTATCTTGAAGAGGAGCTCTGAGGAATCCTGTGGCCAGCAGACGGGCTACTCTAAGAGCAGCCGCTGGCCCGCCGCCCGCCTCCGGCGCAAGCCGAACTGCCCCAGCCAACGGAACAGCTTTCCAACGAGTCAACATCACAGCGATCAAGGAAATTGACCCGCGCGATGTCGCGCCATTGCTTTCAAAATTATATACTTATTCCAGCGAAACGAACCACAGGCGCAAAGAACACTTTCCAGACGCCTATTGAAACATGCAAAACTGTGTTGGACGATACCCTCCAAATTCATGACTAGACATGTTCAGAACCGTGCAAAACTCGACAACATGATACCCTTATAACGTGTCGCGGCAATAGCCTCACGGCTGGTATGCAGCTCAGCGACAGGCGAAGAGAGGTAGCAGCCAGCCGGGCAGTAGCTTAAAATCCGCCAGCCAGCCAGCCAGCCACAGACAGTACTGGAACGACTTTGTGCAAGCTTTGTAGTATACGGTAGTACTGGAACGTGTTTCTGCAAGCTTTGCGGTATACGGTAGTACTGGACCGTCTTTGTCAAGCTTTGTAGTATACGGTAGTACTGGAACGTGTTTGTGCAAGCTTTGTAGTATACGGTAGTACTGGAACGTGTTTCTGCAAGCTTTGTAGTATACGGTAGTACTGGAACGACTTTGTGCAAGCTTTGTAGTATACGGTAGTACTGGAACATGTCTCTGCAAGCTCTGTAGTATACGGTAGTACTGGAACGACTTTGTGCAAGCTTTGTAGTATACGGTAGTACTGGAACGTGTTTGTGCAAGCTTTGTAGTATACGGTAGTACTGGAACGTGTTTGTGCAAGCTTTGTAGTATACGGTAGTACTGGAACGTGTTTCTGCAAGCTTTGTAGTATACGGTAGTACTGGAACGACTTTGTGCAAGCTTTGTAGTATACGGTAGTACTGGAACGTGTTTCTGCAAGCTTTGTAGTATATACGGTAGTACTGGAACGACTTTGTGCAAGCTTTGTAGTATACGGTAGTACTGGAACGTGTTTCTGCAAGCTTTGTAGTATACGGTAGTACTGGAACGTGTTTGTGCAAGCTTTGTAGTATACGGTAGTACTGGAACGTGTTTCTGCAAGCGCCGGCTGCAGCCACTTTACACGGAAAAATACAAGGTTTCTTGCTCCTACTTTCCTCCCCAAAACGAAGCCCATGCAACATTCATGCAGCCATTCCAATGCGATCTGCAACCACAGATTCCAAAACACCCTATAACTACGCACACACAAGCACACCCAAAGCAGCTTGAAGCCACCGTTACAATGCGGCAAAAAAAAAAGGCAAACCGACCGCAGCCGCAACCGCCGCACACAGGAGGTACCTTTCATCGCCGGCTGCAGCCACTTTACACGGAAAAATACAAGGTTTCTTGCTCCTGGCTTCCTCCCCAAAACAAAGCCCATGCAACATTCATGCAGCCATTCCAATGCGTTTTGCAGCACCCCGTAGCAAACCTGCACATGGCAACGCGAGATGACAACAATCATGCAGGTCAATTCTTTTGTGATGTATTGCTATGTAGTGTAAAGTCACACACACCGCCCTTCATCAAGGTCAATTCTTTTGTGATGTATTGTTATGCGATGTAAAGTCTCACACCGCCCTTCATCAAGGTCAATTCTTTTGTGATGTATTGTTATGTGATGTAAAGTCTCACACCGCCCTTCATCAAGGTCAACTCTTTTGTGATGTATTGTTATGTGATGCAAAGTCTCACACCACCCTTCATCAAGGTCAATTCCATCAGCTAAAAGTCATCCGTAACTCGGAAGTATTGCTTCCCAACTTCCTTTGACAACTCTGCTTGTGTTAGTAACGCTCCCTTCACGTGACAACTTGTCGTTTGCGTTGCAGCTCTTCTCTGTCGTTACAACTTTACCTCTCGTTACAACTCTGCTTGCGTTACAACACTCCCTGCGCGTGACACCTTTGCATTGCAGCTCTTCCTTTTCGTTACAATCTTCTCTGTCGTTCTCGCTCGTCCCTCTCGCTATACTAGTAACGCTCCCTTCACGTGACAACTTGTCGTTTGCGTTGCAGCTCTTCTCTGTCGTTACAACCTTTCCTCTCGTTACAACTCTGTTTGTGTTACAACACTCGTCTACGTTGCAACTCGTCTACGTTACGACTTCTCGTCTACGTTTTAACTCGTCTTTTACGTTCCAGCGTTCCTTTTTCGTTACAGCTGCTAATTTTTGTTACAAGGTTTTGCTGGTTGCTAAACCGTCTTTTGTCTTCGTCAATGGGTTCGTGTCAACTCGTAGACTTCCTTTTCTGTTGCAACATGTTCCGACCTTGCTTTGTTGTAAGAAACGCTTTCTGTGACTGGCTGGCTGAATCCGCCGCTATGGCTGGCTGATAGCAGCCCTATTCCTGGTGCTATTGATGTATTCAAATCATAGAATCACCCAAGAACCCACCATTAAAACATGTCAGAAACCCATTTTAAACAAGAAAAAAACATGGATATTGATCATCCAACCAACCATTCAAACATGGTAGGTAGCTCATCCATCCATCCATCCATCCATCCAGCTCCATCCAGTTCCAAGCAGCTGAAAGGTCCATGACTCTTTTGGTGGCCGCATTCACCGGCACGTAGGCTTCGAGCTCGGCGCCGAAGAACAAGTCGCAGAGCGACACCCGGCGTTTGAAGTGGAAGCGGAAACGAATCTCCCACAGGCGCCTGGCGTTGATACATGGAAGGAAGATCTATAGGGATCTAGGGATGATCTAGGGATGGTTAGGTGGAAATATGAAATATGAAATATATGTAAAAACATCAAATGATATATATATATGAATCATATATGAATCGTTGAAACTTTCACACTCCGATTTTCAAGAAACCCATCAGCAAGTCAACTGCTCAGATGATCTCAGGTCCCATGTCCGGTGTGTTTTCATTTGCCAACACTTCGCCGGCGCCACTTTTTTCCAGCGAAGTAGTCGCCGTAGCGATAGTTGCCCGAGGAATCCAATTTACTGGCGAGGAAAGGACGACTCTCTGTGACTCAAAACGTTTCAAAGAAAGCGCTACTCCCCAAAAAAAATCGATGGGTTGATCCTGGTTTATCATCATGGTTTATCATCTTTCCCAGTAAGTTGCCTTTTGGTGGTTTACTTGGGGGATCATCCCTCTTAATGACCTAATGCCTCAGGTAACTGCATGTTATAAACCCACTTATACACATGTATACATAGTTTTTTTTCCACAGTCTTGGGACTTACTATAGCCAGGGTTACTACCCAATCCCCCTGTTCAAACAACGTTGGTTGAGGCCTGTCATAGGTTGGACGGTGCAAGACCAAGAACTGGCCGCTGCAGTTCCTGACAAACATCAACAAACGATGACGATGTGTTAGGAACATGTTAGTATAACAACTGCTATGATGATGTCCAATGTAGAACTCTATAAAGTATCATCCAGGTGCATAACAATGTGTATAGGAAGCATTGATGTGTGAAACTGTTCCCTTCTCTATTCTATATATCAGTGCTTCCACAGGGCCAACCATGGCCATTGTCGAATGCACCCGATGCAACCGATTGTCTCATTGTCGAAGTCAAAGGCTTCGAGGCTGTTGCTGTGGATTAGCCTCGTTGGAGGGAGAAACCTCAGCCGATTTGAAGGATGGGTCGACTACTTTCGGGATATAGGTGCAAACATGTGGAAACAGCATATTTGTAAAAGGGTGAATTGCAGGGAACAACTATTCAAAAAAAAAATGAGAGACGGATGTCTTTCAAACCAACAATGTGCTTAAAAAACACACACATTAACACCCAGATTGATAGCAGTACTCACATGTTTCACCAAGTTTCATCATCATGTCATGGTATTTTTTCATATTTTTTCATCGTTTTTCCATCAGTTTGTAAAAAATGACTTGTCACTTGGATCCTGAGGATCCTGAGGATCCCGACCCTCCTTCGAGGTGAGGTTCTTGTGGCATTCCCATGTTCCGGAAGTCTTCTTCGATGAGGTCATGAATCGAGCTCTTCGTACGTTTCGAGGTGAAGACCTTGGCCTCATAAACAGCAGCGCTTCAGCGGCTTATGGCACAATCCCACCATTGGATCCCACTGGGAACCGAAAAAAAACACCACGATTTTCTGATGGTACCTGATATCTGCCAGCTGTTGATGGGTCCTTGATGATGGTGATGTTGAAAATATTTGAAAATATGTTGTAACAATTTGTAACAATTTGTAACATGTTTAAAAACAACTTGGTGAGTGCGACTTGTTTTTTCCCTAAGAAGTCCTGCCTGGTCTTTCTTCCCAAGCGACAACACCAAAGCCTCAGCATGATCAGTAGTCAAACATCATACCTGATGATTGAAAAGTCAAATATCTGAATTAAACACTATGAATCACATATATGTATATCATCTTAATCATCTTAATCATCTTAATCATTTTATGTATTTTTATCTTATCTATCACGTACTGTTGATGTTTTTGTTTCTACATGTTTCTAAGATTTCCATAGAAATTCTCAATGAAACACATCAATTCCCAGATTCTGAGTGCCCCAGCTCCCAGGAATGCAGCCAACAGGATGCTACTGCCCAAGGTCAAGGCCTAATCCATGGAAATTGCTGGAACTATTCATTGGACATGACGAATTTTGGGATGGAATTTTGGGATGTTATGGGATATTGATGGATATTGATGGATATATTGATGGATATATTGATGGATATTGTATCTCTATGGCAAGTTGCAGTGTGAAAATCAACTGAAATCTGAAATCAAATATCCAAAAACAGGGGTTGGTAACTGTCCCATTTTGGGTATATTGGACATCACCTGATAGTAGCCATTATAGACCATATACCTAATGGTTGGGTGATGTTCAATGGGGACATTTAATGACCCATGTAAAAACATGTTGCAGTTTCGGTTGCGGTCAAAACACTTCATTGTGAAGTCCGATGGATGCAGCTGCGTCGGCCACAGCTGAACTTGTTGCCAACATCCACGCAGTCATTGCCTCAAAGCATCAACGCAATTGATGCAATTGCTTCTAACACCAATTTAAAGGCAAAACAAAATTGAGTGGACTGGAGAATCAATTCAACCGTCATTGCAACAGGTCTGGCGTTTTCTCAAATTTTATTTCAAATGTGTTCATTAAATTAAAAAAATGGTACGGTGTTTCATCTGGCCATTTTTTTGAGACTTGGGTTTGCCTCTAACACCACCAACGCTTGTGGCAGGATTCCGGACATGGCGTCACTGCAAACTGCAGCACTTCATGGTGCAAAATATGCACGTGACAACTGTGACAACTCAACTCTTCAAATTTCTGATGTGGGGACTGTCAGGTGCCAATGAAGTGGGTTTGAACCGCTACGAATATGATGCATATGATGCATTGATTGGGTTGATGGTTTGAGTTGGAGGTTTCTGATGGTTATGTCTTTGGATGAAAAAAAACTGAATCACAAAGTCTAGGTGGAGCGTTGTTGTTTAAATGAACAACATTGTGCCGTTCACATTACATTGCTTCACAATGGATTTGAGCCAAAATGGGTATGTTGTTTGTCGAGTTCCGTGGATTTTTTGTTCCGCCCTGCCCCCCCCCTTCGACCATGCTGTCAACTCTTGGGGCAATGCCCCAAAAGGATGGGCGTAAACTACATGGTCAACTGCATAGCCTGCCCTGGCATGCTCGCGTTTCCATGAATATCACCTCTGAACATGTCAACAAAAAACATCAAAAAAACAAAACACCTGGTTGTTTCTTCTAAAAAGGCATCACTGCATCATCCGATTCAATCTGATGCAGGGCACTACCAAATCTGGGGCGATCCTCAAGTTTGATCCACTTCGCCCCTTGTGTCAGAACGGCCCCATATGGCCCCATCACGAAGAGCATAAAGAAACTCCAGTATTTTTTGATATTTTTTGCACAAGCAAGGCTCACATCGAACACGTGTTTTGGAAGGAATCTCATGCGTATATATCACTATATGTCAGTTAACTTTCATGTCGCAAATACCCTCTGGGTCTGGTACACCGTCCCCAAGTTCACATCAAATCCGCCCACACCGCTTTGGCGGTGAAGGCGTGCTTATTGGGGGGCAAAACAGCAACAAAGGACATTTCCTTACATTTGGGGTTGATTTCATTGCATTTGGTAGTTGGGATTGGGTGCATAGACGCTGCTCGTCCATTGCAGCCATCAGCGTGCTCAAGGCATGAGTGATGAAAGGTTGAGATATTTGAAAGGGGTGAAAAGAAAGGGTGATGAAAAACCCAAAGGCCCTGATCATCGTGATCCAAGGAGCAGCAGCTCAAAGAGCAGCAGCTCGAAAGTAGAAGTAGAACCAAAAAATGAAAGGGCTCGTTTTTTGGCCATGGTTGCTCGGAGATCCTCTGCTTCTCGTTCACGGGGGCACGTTGGTTCAGGCCAGGTGGTGGTTTCCGAAATGAAAGACCATAAAGTTTCTTCGGAGATTAACTTCACTTTGAGTTCCCTCAAAGAGTTTGCTGCTCGAAATGCGTTGGTGGGTTCTTCTGGTGAAGCTGGGGGGTTTGCCACAGGGAGGAGGAGACCAAACTATGATAACAGGTTGAGAAGGTTGAACATGAAGTTCAATCCAAGGGTGCCGCACCTGGTCAATTTAGTACTCATGTTGCATCTCAAGGTGCATCGCTTTCAAATGATTTTATGGCTATTGTTTATTTTTGTTTGCTTTGGGGACTTGAGATCCAATTCATGTGTGCAAAACAGAACCTAGGCATCAAAAAAACGGAAGCAGTTTACAGAGACTCCGGGACGTTTTGAACAAGACTTGCCCATGTGGGAAAGACTGCTTTCAGAACTTCCAGCAGTTTGAGAGTGATGCTTTTGAATTTGTGAAACAGTTCTGGGCTTTGAAGAAGCTGCAGCAAGATATGTATGTGCAGTACTTAGCTGTTAGCAACAAGAAGATACAAGAGGGGCTTAGAGGTTTGGTTGGTTGTGTCAATGTTTCAGCAGGGGTCTGGAAATTAGTACCGGTTGTTTAATTCCAACTATTTCAGCTACATCCCAAGTTTGTGCTTCTCGCTAAGTTGCATCAACAAGTTCAACCTGAAGGTTCCGATCAAGGCCGAAAACTATGGAAATTTCTTGGGTTACCTTCTTCACCAAAGTGCTTCGCTATGTTGGTTGGCATCAATGAAAGACGTTTGTCTGCTAACCCTCGTGTTGACAGAAGATATGGGTGCACAGGGGCTCAAGCTACTTGACCTAATTGCTGGAAAACAATTTAGGGTTTATTGTGGTTCTTGGATGTTCCTGGTTCGGGCACCACCTCCATCCTGGCTTAATCTTGGGTAAGGTATTTGCACGGGCACCTGTGAAGAACATGGACATGGACAAGTTCTTCTTGGACATGTATGTCCAAGCGGGTGGCCTGCTGCCAACAAAGTTGCTTGTGCAAAAAAAACGTTGTCAGCTGGTTCATGCGTTCCATAAGGGGCCATATTCCACAGATTGGCTTTGCTTTTAGGTTCCAAAGACGTGGGCAACGAAGAGATGAATCTGGCAGCCGTACATTTGCTGCTCTACTTGATGCATCACAACAAGGAGACCCAGCATTCTGTTGATTTCATGTTTGACGATCCCTGCTGTGTTATAAACCATGGTTTTCATAGACTAGGCGAAGATCATCATAGAGAGCCTGATTCTGATGAAGGGCCTGAAGAAGAACTACTTTGCTATGCAGAGGAACGACTTGAAGATGACAATGAATTGAAATTACATGCCCTATCAAACCAGTCTCTCTGGTCAAGGTCATTTGTCTTAGGCATTCAGTGCAACAGTTGAATGTCAATCAATGAGTGTAGTAGTCATTGTTTGCAATGTTTTGGTTAGGGTTTTGCTGGGTGTCATGCATTTAGTCCAAGGTACATTGACACCGCTTCTGGGGATTCAATATCGCACCTTCCCTATAGAGTGCTGCCTCCTGGGTCCGTCAAAATGCTATGGGTGCAATGGGGGATGAAAGCTTCGTGCCCTGACTTATACGAGAATCCTATCACATAGCCATATCTTTAATTGTCTATGTTATGCTTAGCCCCGCTGGCCCACTGCACTGCCAGGTATTCACACTTTTGGAGACGGTTCAAGTCCAAGTGGAAGAAGGTCATGGGTTTTGCCTCTATTAGTGACCAGCTGGCCTGCGACAGCTGTTCGGAATTCAAACAGGAATTTCATGATGCAAAAGAACCTTAGCAAATGTATTGATTTCTGATGCACATTGTGTTTTATTTTGGTGGCTGCCCATTGGATATGTTCAACCATTCATTGCCGTTTTCTTATTCTTAGTTTTGGCCTCCAACGTTAGAAGTTGAACATTGGATAGCCTAGGACGTGCAGACCAAGTTCAATGCCATCAGAAAATACAAATCTCACATTGATGGTGTGAAGAAAGACCGGGCACTGGAAACGTATCTCATGGAGCCTTAGCCGAACATAACTATCATTGAAGGTTTCTCTGAAATGATGATGACATTATGTGTTCCCAACTTTTGTTTAGAGCCGAGCTTAGTTGTGCCAGGCTAGTTCCTAGTCAAGTTTCCAGCCCTGGCTGAGACACAAGATCCCTTTCAAGATGATGTGGACACACTCGTCCTCCATTGGGTGGCTGAGTTTGCACAATAGAAACTATTTTCTAGTTGGTTCAATGCCCTGGGGATTGTTTCGATAAAAGCATGGTTCCTGAAGTTTCTTCTACTCTATCACCGTTGGTAAGGATGGTATGGACCAAGCAAAATGGTGCCTACCTAGATTGCGACACCATGTGATCAGTCATGAAATGGCCAAATACCAGAGACCACGTCTAAAGCTACATGCTGTGTGGTGTCACCATGTGGGGTTGTACTTGTTTCTGGTAGACCCGAGAAGAGCTGCTGATGCATCACTTACAGTCGAATGTGCAGGAAGATCACTGGAATATGTTGCTGAAAAATTTCACCAGGCAGGAAAAACAATGCCTGGAAACCTCATCGCATTTTGCGACAATACAGTGAGAGAAAATAAAAATGTGACGACCTTGGGGTACCTTTCAACCCTCACTGCCCTCAATCGTTTTCGATCCACTTCTATGCTGCTGCATAGAGTGGGTCATAGTCATGGACCCTTGGACCAGTTGTTTGGGGTCATAGCAACAGCAATGAAGTACGTGGATCTATTGGCCGATAATGATGACGCAGTGGCGACATTTGACTGAATTATGTTTTGAAGTTTATCACACATGAACATCATGACTGCAGTTACAGCTAAGGGTATACTTGACTTGGGTTAACAAAAATATGCTCCCTGTCACTGCGGAGGAAACTTGAAACGATCCTCGCCAAGCTGAACCTCAAGCCTTTTCTTGGACCGAACGCCACCATCAAGGTTCAGTATCTGACTCATGTACGAGACTGGAAAGGTTGGTTCCTTGCCCGAATGCAAACTTAGCCAGCAGTTCATTTAATGAAGCAACCAATGAATTCCTTTTCAGGAAATAATCATGAATACGAATGAGGTATCTTTGCATTTATCAAAATTATTGGGACCACCATGGCCATGGACCATCAAGGGTCGACACTGTCTAGCTAGGTTTGCTGATCTCAAAATCAGCTATTCTGGTGGCCTTCGTGATGACTGCAGTGGCTTGCACACATTTCTCTTCCTCAAAAGGAAAGGCCGATTCTTGTTATTCTTGTTTCAATCTCAACATTGCAAAATGTGTGAGATCAGTTTGTGGATGTTGCTAGGAGTGATTTGATGATTTGTTTGATTGATCCTACTACCCAGCCCATGCCGCTCAGATGTGCCCTCGAACATCCGCATCGATTCTTTCGGACCTGGGGCAGAGGGAGTGGCGTCGCACCATGAGGATGTCATCGTGGTTCTGAAACGATATTGCTCTGATAAGGAGGTTTGCCAGGCCCATGGTGCTGAACACAAACAGTTTAAAAAAAATAAAATAATCAATGAAATATGATATGAGATGGATGGTTCTGTTTAACTGATTGGTGGACAGTGGTTTATTAACTTGTCGGGTGTTAGAAATTCATAACCCTTCACCTTGGAGGTCCCGGTGCTGGCGATACCTGTCCATTATTTGAGACGGCTCCAAAGCCATGTGCCGATGAAGGGTAGGTCAACCAAAAACATCACCAATGAGAGGAGGAAAAAATGGTTAGACTTAGCGGATGCTTTGTCCAAACGGGCGCCCAGTCAAAGTACCCAAAGGACCATAATGTTTTTGATATGGCTTGCGAATGGAAGGCTGGATTCT